GTGTGTTTTCTCGTCAGTGAGCTGTGGCAGCCTGCGTAGGCGCAATTCGAGAGCTGGTAACGGCTAGATTGCCGCGTTTAACTTTTTTCTTTTGTGTTCTATGGCGAAAAGAAGTTCTCTATGATTCTAAAAAAGCATTGTACTATTTTTGGGAACAAAAACAAACAAATGAAAGCTATTTTTGTGAGTCCGTGCATGACAGAACAAATGCAACTAGAATGTTTGTTTCATTCTATGTTGATTTCTTAACGACACCATACACTCAGCAGTGCCAATCTACACAGGGCAACTCCGCTTTGTTTTTTTCTCTTTGAAAGAACAATGCAGTCCACTTCAGTATAACCTAGGAAGACCACACGCCAAATATTAATACCTAGTTGTGATGTACCGGTAATTTAGGATAATGAGGATATATTCATTTAACTGTTAGATTACACTCGGTTGAGAAGCGTCTTGTTCGGTCTGCGACCGCGCCCAGTCTCTTCTTTCGCGCAGGCGTCACGCTCTTCTCCGTGGCTTGTTCTCCCCCGCCGGCGTCTTCGGTTACATCAGCCCGCCGTTGCCTGAGCCAAAGGTCGTGTTCGCTATGCGTGGTCAGCACGCACACAATACACGGCACTAGTTCACCCTAAATGTTTCTTGAAACTGTCCGGCGAACTTTGCAACTTGCCAAGTTGCCGAATTCGGCTGTCAGGTTATCCGTTGGGGTTTTGGGAGTTCGTAGATGATCGTAAGTTTAAGGCGTAGACTGGGGTTAATTTAAAATTAACAAGACGTTTATTAACTGGGATTACAATCGGATACACAAGGTTACAAATTATGTCGGAGGGAAGAGCGGTCGTCCCGTCCGTATCGTACGGCGTCCCGGAGTCGTCTCTGTTGCGAAGGGGCTTCTCCTCGGTGAGACGTCACCCGACGCCTTGCTCCTCTCGCCTCGGAATCCCGCCCGGGTCACGTAAACCGGGGGCCCGATTCTGGGGGCTCCACGGAGGTGCAATGGGAAAGCCCGGGCTGGACGAAATTTTTGGTCGACTGTCTGGCAGGCAAGGTGGCTCTCCGCGCGGAAGGCGCTTGACGCTGACACGGCTGACTCGAGGGGGCGAATTGGGGTGCAACCATCAGCGCAGACAAGGCTACGGTATGGGCATTGCCAAAATTGAGCTAAACCTCATCATCCTTGCCCCTTTTTGCTTGTTTTTACTTCTCCGGGTAAGCGTAATGGGTGACGTCAGCAATGTTTCTGTTCGGCGCTCAGTGGTGTCCACGTGATTGGCGTAACGAACTAGTGCAGCGCCCTTCTTGGGAGCCGTCCGGAAGTCCCGCCGTGTCCCGCGTCACAACCGCAGTCGTCGTCTCAGTGCTTGTGATTAATGTCTCCGGAGTTTCGTTCAGACTGCGGACACTTCGTGCGCGGACTTATGCCGCAGTTGTGCAGACAACGTCGACTGTCGTAGACACCAAAACGTGGTGAATAGTGCGGTGCAGACGACACTTGTGCCTCGCACACGCCCGCCCCAATCCCGCTTGTCGTTGCGTAGTGGATCACGTGACATCTCGTACCATGTGAAAGCCATGTTCTTGACAGCCCGAGGCCAATGTTGCCACACGGAGTCGAAGTTTCGGTTTTAATTTCTGCTCGTGTTTAAAATTCGATTTAACAATGTATAGGATCTCCTAAGTCACCAGGCTTGATCTAAAATTGACAGTAAAAATCGACGCCTACACGTAGCAATCTAAACATTTTTTTTCAAAAGTGTATTTCACAGGTCGGTTTTTTCTTGTAAAATTACAAAGCGTAGCCCTCTTTAAAAAAAAAAAAAAATAGGGCCAAGAAACTTGCCAGGGTCAAAGCAGACGACCAAGTCGAATAGCGGGGTGGGTTTGGAGCTTGTATTGATCGATGGCGCTATACCTTAACAAGACTGCTCGCGACCACCATGGTTTATTCAAATGAACATAATCTTTTTTTGTGATGTACCTTTGGTTGAAAAATAAATACGGGCAGTAAAAGCAAAACTGTAAGGAAAGAAAAGAACGAATTTGCATGACGACGGCACTTTTGCTGCCAACGGATTTCGTCTGCGTGTCGTCTGCTTTCTTTTGCTGATCGTCTACACCTTCGGACACTGCTCCAGACGCCATCTATCAATACGCGCGCCAAATGGCGTCGCCATATCGTATTTGGCGTCACACGTGACGCCAAATATTTGTGACGTCACGTGTGACGTCACAAGCATTTGAACCGTGAAGTGACTGTTATCAACAATATATGACAGTCACTTCAAGACAATCGGGCGGAATCCTGCTTGTTTTGGGCCCGTTTTGAAGAGAGCCGCTCTTTTTCGCACATCACCAAAGCAAATGAACGAACGTGTGTATTCCATCCCCATACCCTGGACCCGACCCTTTCAACTAATTTTCGTGAAGGCCGGGAACATAGCCGGGAAGGCGTTTCGGAGATTTTATTGACGGAAATAATTCTCGAAGAACGTCGAACGGCCCGCGTCGCGGGCTGCTTGACGTTCGCTTTCTTGGTTCGTTTCCTGCGAAGGCCGGGCAGGCTACGAGCCCTGGTACTCTCTGGTTCTCGGAGTGGAGGAAAACACGAAAAGGGTATACTCATCCTGAACAGGGAAAAAAATTTGAAAGTTTGAATGTTCGAGGAAACGTTTAGAACAAAAATGGCTGCCGCGATGGATACATGTTTCAATGATACTCTATCTCGATTTATAACGCCAAATCCTGCAAAAATTCGGAGATCTCTCCTTCCCAGGAAGGACACTCCTCGTTGTTTTTTTATTCGGGATAAATGTGTTAGTGACCCTGTGGTTATTTCTAACAGCTTTAATGCATATGCTTACTCAGTTTTTATTTCTGACAACGCCAGTGAGCGTAGTTTTTGTTCAAATGTTGTTTGTATTTTGTTAGCAAATATTCAGGAATCAGGTTAGTGTTTCCGGTGTGCACAATTTTCTCTTGAACCTCGACTGCAAGTTTTGAGGCCTGGAGTATATTCGAATTTTGTTTTTTATTCAGACTGGGCATCGAGATGCTTAGCTATTATTTTCCAGAAGTCTCTTTCCTCTGGGACGGTACCACGACTTTGGAAATCAGTAAGAATAGTTCCCATACACAAGCAGGGTAACAAACAGGGCCTTAGTAATTTTAAACCAATTTCTCTCTTGTCCTCATCCAGTATAAACTTCTCGAACACAAAGTATATAAATTCATTTTCGAGTATCTTGGAAGCTATTCATTTATGTCTTCAACAACCTTTCAACAGCCTGGTTTTCGCCGACATTTTTTAACCACTACGCAACTTCTGGAAGTCACTCATGACGTCGCTTCATCCTTGGATAAGAGAGGACAAGTTGACGCCATTTTTGGTGGTTAGACGAAGACTTTTGATTATATATCGCACCCCAAGTTTTGAAGTTAAAAGCCACCCGTAATTAAGAGTACACTTTTACTAGTCTGGATTTCTGATTACCTGAATTTCAGGTCGCAGTTAGTTTCAATTGCGGATGTCATCTCTTCGGAGGTTTCGGTTAGTTCAGGTGTGTTGCAAGGATCAGTGTTAGGTCCTCTCTTATTTATTTTGTATATTAAATGATGTTGTAGAAAACACAGTGGTTAAAATCCGTATATATGCCGATGACTGCGTTCTGTAAGAGGACATCACGTTCATCAATGATCAGTTGTTACTCAACGAATCTTTCGTGCGTTTTCTTAATTTGAGTGGGAAATGGTGTATGAACTTAAACTTTGATAATACTGTATTTATAAGATTTAGAAATAAAACTTCGTCGCTTATTTTTAGTTATGGTATTGATCATGTACTTTTAAACGAAGTTAGCGAGATTAAATGCTTAGGCGTTTTCTTTACGACCAATCTTAGTTGGGATAAACATGTCGACCTTATCTGCTCCCGAGCCCTTAAGAACTTGGGATATGTAAAGCGGACTTTCAAATGCTCCACCAGGGAAGGCAAACTAACCACCTACAACCCCTTCTTAGGCCCGTCTTAGAGTACAGATCTCAGTGATCTGTTGTATGGAAACCATATTTTAAAAAAAAAATGTAAATCTACTTGAATCTGTTCAGTCTAATGCTGTAAGATTTATTTTTAAAGGGTATGACCGCAATTTTTTTTATTTCATCTGCTTTGTGATCTCTTACGCTCGAACCACTGTGTTGAGGCGAAAACTAGATCCACTCGAAATGTTTCACAGAATTGTTAATGAAGACTGCGGCATCGAGTGAACTAAATACATTGCATTTTCTACTACTACGCGCAAAAGAGAGTCTAATTCCTTATATGTTCTATTTCAGTGTCATATATATATTTTTTTCAACTCGTTTTTTTAATTGTTGATGACTGGAATTAAATTTACTGACAGATACGCATATTTTGTGCTGATTTTATAAGCGCGAACAACAATCTTTCTTTCCCTTAATCCTTGTCGTTTTCAGTTAATAATTTTCAAAAGCATCTTGTTTTTCTGCGTTGTTTTGTTCATGCATATGTAAGTTTCCCTCCTGTAATGACCTCATATGACGTCGAAGTACGTATGAATAAATAAAGAAGTAAATAAAAACTTTCAAGAGAAGCCGACGAACTTTGAATGCACAATGCTGGTGGGAAGTCGAGCTGACCGGGTTTCCACAGCCCAGGCGGGTGGCAGAAATTTCTGGCTGATAGGGGTCGCTCGATTCGCAAAATGGCGGCGGCCAGAGAGTTCTTTTTGTAAAGGTCTTTATCCGTACCAGACGCCTGTCCATACCCCACATTTGTCCGCCTTTTAATCGAAACAAGAGTTTCCTTCGTTATTTTTATGGAAACAATTTTCCATTTAGCCCTGATTTTGAGAAACACTACTGCTTCTTATTTCAGGCAGTGATTTTGTATTACATAATAAGGTTAATTTGGCGATACTGACCAACCTTGCTGGATGCAATGGACTCCCTTTTGTCAAAACTCTTCAACTGCTTCCTTCCAGGCATGCAGCACGGCGTCTTATCGCCCGCAGAGCCGTTTGGATTGCCCCTGAGTGTATCTATCATGCCTCAATACCTCAAGAACCTTGGATATGAAACTCACATCGTTGGCAAGGTGACCAATTAAGTTCTGCACCTGTTTTAATATAGGGTTGGATGTACGTCTCTTCTGTTGATTCGTTTAATTAAAGTGTCCACCAACTGTGTTTGCAAAGTTCTGCCGCTCTCGATTTGATGTATGGACATCGAAAATTTTCAGAAAGAACGCGGTTTTGAAACATCGTGATTTAGACATAAGTGGATGAGAGCATCGAATAAAGTAAAAACCGCTGATTATAGAATTGAACTTTTGCAAACTTGTTACAGTCAAAACCTGGACTAAGTGCATTATTCACTGGCAGGTTAGACTTAAACTTGGGACTCATTTTAGGATACGAAAGCACCTGTCTTCTAAAGAAGACAGGTGCTTTCTTGCCATGTAATTTTTTAAGACTCACAAAAAAAAATTAAAAGCGGGTTTTCCGATTTGCGGGTTGCAAATAAATTACCCGCATTTTATATCGCATTCATTGAACACGTTGTTGTTGGTATTCACTGAGCTCCATATTTCAGCGCGTTGATCACGGTGCAAGCTGATAGCGAGATGCAACTTATCATCTCCAAGAAACGACAATTTCGACTATAGCCTGCTGGCGCAATCCGCTGCCTAATTAAAAAAAAGTTCAACAAAATGCATCTCTTCATCCGTCTATCCTAAGCTATCGTGGCCAATAGATACAATCTACAGTTTGCGTATAACCCGAGTACATGCAATGCAAATACTTTTTTTTATGTTTTTAGTGGAACCTGGGAAACTACAAGCTCTCATACACCCCCACTTTCAGAGGATTCGATAGTTTCTACGGCTACTACAGTGCGGTGGAAGATTACTACAACCACACTGTCCTCTGGGTAGGTTGCGATCCGCTGCGGATTTCGGTTGGGTCTGGGGCACGAAAGGATCTTGGAGCCTTACATTTCATTCTTTTTTTTTTTTTTTTTTCAGGATAACCAAACTGGACTCGATTTTTGGTTGAACACTCAGCCGCTGAGGAATGTGAGCGGCATTTACTCAACGCAACTGTACACTGAAAGAACGAAATTTCTCATCGAGAACCGCGATGTTTCGAAGGTAAATAAACCCAGTCATCTGTAACTAAGACACCGATACGTATACATTTTTACATCAGTAGCAACTTCCTGACTGCATTGGCGGCGGCAATGCGTTAGGCAGAAAACTGCAGAGGTATTTACCCCTTGGTCAAGAGATGTCAGGCGCGCCCATGGGCACTAGGTTGCCTAATTAACAAAAAATAACTTTAAAAAAAAGAGGACAAGGGGACGAAGTGTACAGAGCGCTGACTCTCAACTGATTCATTCGAAGATGAAAACACAAATCGACCAGCATCACGGATCCCCAAAAAATATCAGGTCACCGCCCCCCGCACGTCTCAAACCTGCTCAAGAATGCCAACTCTGTCAAATACCGCGATAGAAGGCGAACTGACGCACCTTTCTTTTTGCTTTAAAATACGAAAGGCCTCTAAATTGTTTCTACTCATTTGTTGACTGTGTCGTCCTAAGATACTCGTTTTATCAAGAACCAATTTGCAACCTGTTCTTTATCAATAATCAATTGAGAGTCAGCGCTCCGCTTGTACACTCCGTCACGTCACATGACGTCACGTCCGGCAGGCCGCACGGGCGCTGATTAAATGCGAGTGCCGCGTCAGCGTTCGCGTGGAGCTCGTTTCCTATCATATTACCACCGTTATACGGATCGTAACTTTCGGTTGTGAAGAATGGTAAATAGGGGCCTTTAGTGGACCGTACGCAAGTGCTTAGAGCTGCAAGCGAGAGCTCGTACCGCTACTTGGAAGCGTTTGTAAACACGCGCCCGCTAGGCCCACAGTCCGCACGGTGCATTTTACTAAAACTCTCTACTGGATGCTCGAGCTTAGTAGTTGTATAGGGTTCTTTACCATGCTTCCTTAATTCTGAATTAAGAAGTGTAGCCTTGAAAGGCTTAACATTGCTGTTTTGTGTTTATTTATTCATTCATTTTTTTTTAATCATCCCCGCCCGATGAAAAAGGTTCAGCCGTAACCATCCCCATCCATCGATCTTAGCAGAGCCCCGGGGCCGCCGATTCACTGATCTCTATGACAATTGCTGGATCGCGTTTGCCCGCTTCGCGAATGCGGCCACTGGCGGCCATCTTTTTGGTAGAGTTATATTACCTCTAGCCAAGGTGCTGCAGCCACTATCCTCCATCCATGGCAGACAGAGTTGTGGCAGTTGTGGTGGCAGGCTGCCATCAACATAGCGTGGGTGATATTTCATGCTTGATTGAAATTGTTTGACGAAACATATTTTTAAAACCCGGTGTGAACTGTAGCCCGATCTTTGAGGACCCGGTGAAAGTTTCACGAAATCGCAGCACCGAGGAAAAGCAGCACAGCACGCATCCAAAGAAGCATCGAAAGCAGACGCCGGTACGGAGTCTGGTTTCGATGCGAGCTGCGCTGCTTTCCCCAGGTGCTGCGCTTTCGTAGCACTTTCGCCGGGTCCTCAAAGATGAGGCTACCGCTCATGCCGGGTTTCAAGAATCTGCTTCGTCGGACAACTTCAATCAAGCACGAAATATCACCCACGGTCATACCTCGGCAAACCTCACTCATGAGGGCCCTTACTCACCCTCACTCACCCTCATCTTCACACGTGAGGTGAGGGTGAGTGAGTTTCTGAACCAGGAAAATTCATGAGTGTGAGGGTGAGTGAGGGCTGTGAGGGCGGTGAGGGCCGTGAGGGCCGTGAGGGCTGTGAGGGCCGTGAGGGCGGTGAGGGTCATGAGTGCGTGAGGGGCGTGAGGGCGGTGAGTGGCGTGAGGGCCATGAGTGCGTGAGTGGTGTGAGGGCGGTGAGGGCCATGAGTGCGTGAGGGCAGTGAGTGGCATGAGAGGCGTGAGGGCCGTGAGGGCGGTGAGTGCATAAGGTGTGTGAGGGCCATGAGTGCGTGAGGGCGCTGATTGCGTGAGGCCCCCTTCAGATCGAGCATCTTTCTCAGCAATGTTGGTGTTAATGGCGGGTTGTTCTCTAGCTTTCCCTAGATCGACACGAATTGCTGAGATCGGGTCCGGCTTGAAATACGCAAGCAACTCGGAGCAATTTGAATACGTTTGAAGCGGCTGCATCCAATCAGGGACGCAAAATTTTCACGTGATACCTCGTGCCGGTGATGATGACACCGAATGACTTGGAATCTGGTTTGAAATCGATCGTTTTTTTTTGGAAATAAACTGTTTCAGAAAGGTGCATTAGTATTCTTAACGAGGTTTAAATGCATAAAAACACGTTTATAACGCGTAATTCTGTCTAAATAGTACAAGAAAAATAAAATGTTATGATGACGATGGCAAATTGCAGCAATTGGTTGCTGCCTGTGATCGCGGGCGGCCCGTGTTGCTGGTGTTGCGACGTAAAGTTTCTGGGCGAAATTGCCCCATCTGAAGCTGGTCTGAGTGGCGTGAGGGCCATGAGTGCGTGAGGGGCGTGAGGGGTGTGAGGGCCGCATGGGCGGTGAGGGGCGTGAGGGCGGTGAGTGGCGTGAGGGCGGTGAATGGCGTGAGGGCGGTGAGTGGCGTGAGGGCCGTGAGGGCCGTGAGGGCCGTGAGGGCCGTGAGGGCCGTGAGGGCCGTGAGGGCCGTGAGGGCCGTGAGGGCCGTGAGGGCCGTGAGGGCCGTGAGGGCCGTGAGGGCCGTGAGGGCCGTGAGGGCCGTGAGGGCCGTGAGGGCCGTGAGGGCCGTGAGGGCCGTGAGGGCCGTGAGGGCCGTGAGGGCCGTGAGGGCCGTGAGGGCCGTGAGGGCCGTGAGGGCCGTGAGGGCCGTGAGGGCCGTGAGGGCCGTGAGGGCCGTGAGGGCCGTGAGGGCCGTGAGGGCCGTGAGGGCCGTGAGGGCCGTGAGGGCCGTGAGGGCCGTGAGGGCCGTGAGGGCCGTGAGGGCCGTGAGGGCCGTGAGGGCCGTGAGGGCCGTGAGGGCCGTGAGGGCCGTGAGGGCCGTGAGGGCCGTGAGGGCCGTGAGGGCCGTGAGGGCCGTGAGGGCCGTGAGGGCCGTGAGGGCCGTGAGGGCCGTGAGGGCCGTGAGGGCCGTGAGGGCCGTGAGGGCCGTGAGGGCCGTGAGGGCCGTGAGGGCCGTGAGGGCCGTGAGGGCCGTGAGGGCCGTGAGGGCCGTGAGGGCCGTGAGGGCCGTGAGGGCCGTGAGGGCCGTGAGGGCCGTGAGGGCCGTGAGGGCCGTGAGGGCCGTGAGGGCCGTGAGGGCCGTGAGGGCCGTGAGGGCCGTGAGGGCCGTGAGGGCCGTGAGGGCCGTGAGGGCCGTGAGGGCCGTGAGGGCCGTGAGGGCGGTGAGTGGCGTGAGGGCTGTGAGTGGGTGGGGGCGGTGAGGGCCGTGAGGGCGGTGAGGGCGGTGAGGGCGGTGAGGGCCGTGAGTGGCGTGAGGGCTATGAGTGCGTGAGGGCGGTGAGGGCGGTGAGGGCCGTGAGGGCGGTGAGGGCCGTGAGGGCGGTGAGGGCCGTGAGGGCGGTGAGTGGCGTGAGGGCGGTGAGTGTCGTGAGGGCCAAGAGTGAGTGAGGGGCATGAGGGCCGTCAGGGCGGTGAGGGGCGTGAGGGCCGTGAGGGTGGTGAGTGCGTGAGGGCCGTGAGGTTCAGTAAGGGTGAGTGAAGGGCTGAAGGTGAATGTGACTGTGAGGGTGAGGGTGAGTGAGGGGCTGAAGGTGAGTGTAGCTGTGAGGGTGAGGGTGAGTGAGGGGCTTAGGTGAGTGTGGCTGTGAGGGTGAGGGTGAGTGAGGGCGACCTAAAATGCCGATCTCTGCCCACGGTACAGTGTACTAGATCCACGGCTATTTTATGGCAGCCTGAGTGAGACCAGCGTGATTTAAGTACTAATTTAAATCATGATTTAAATTCTGATTGAAATCACGGTATAACTCGTCTTGATTTTTATCGTCCATCCTGCACAATATTGTGCTCTCTATTCACTTTGTCTAAAAAAAAATCTTATGAAACATCGTCTGTCCAGTTAGTTTTACTTTTTTATTCGCTGTCCCCGCTGTTGCTCATATGCAACGCATTTGGAAATATTCGTGTTTTTTTTTTCAATCTGTACTGATTCACCCTTGTTGCATTCGAGGTCCATAATGCTGTTCTTGTTTTTTTTTTTAATTTAAATGGTGGTGACATCAATACGAACCATATATCACACAAATCTGCATTCCCTGGAGCACGTGCAGGGCGTATGCAGACAACATTGGTTGTGGATTTGTTGTGCGTTCATATTGCTTATTTCGATCAAAATTTTATAAAATGACTGCCCGTTTCCAGGAATGAACTTGCGCGGCTCATTTTAGTGTCAAGGATTCAAGCTCACTCGATGTCTGCCGCAAAAACAAACAAAAAAACGCTTACGCCTTTTTTTTTTTTTTTCATTAGCCTTTGAGCTTTGCGCATGTGACTTGCTCAATCTTCGCTAACTAATTTATATTTCTGCGCTTTGCACTATATTTGTATTAGCGTGTCTCGAGTGTCATCCTGTATGTATTTGTCTGTCACGCGGCTCTCGTGGAAGTGAACCAACCTAACGACCATTCTGGATATTTTGGTACACTTGAAATAAGGTATAATATTAATATTTTTAATGAAGAGCTCATTATTAATTTTTGATTGGCATGACTATAAAATGTAGTGAATTGGGTAAAAATAATTCACATAAGCGTGGAACAGTTCTCAGGATAATTTATCCTGATTTTTTCATTCGTTGATAATCAAATTGACAAGGCCTAGAAGTAAGGGTTTTCCTTTGGACCCATAAGTATAGAAACTCCAAGTCTATTAATTAGGTCCTCATTATGCACGGGTAAACAGGTGTCGTACAAACATTCCATTCGAAGCTACGGACCGCTTAGCCAGCGGACCGGCATTCTCAAGCCCAGCCGGCTTTGCTGCCTTTCCGCGCGTTGCACTACTTACATTTTGATCGAGAAGAGGGCTCGCAGGCTATGGAAAATGTTCGAGGGAAAGGGGGGCTGGGGAGGAGGAAGCGAACGAAATGCTGAACAGGAAATAAGTAAACCTGCTCCTCTCTCCAGCGTTCCGTCTGCTTCCTCCTCCTCCTCAGCCCTCCTTTCCCTCCAAACATTTTCTTAAACTGTTCCTGACTATGGAAGGTGTTAGCGGTACTGCAGGGTCGGCGCCTCATTCGGGCTGGAGCAGAACATCCCGCTAGCAGAGCGATAGTTACAGCGATAGCTGAATGGTGCCGGTCTCGATTGTGTCTAAGACCGAAACGTGAGCTCATGTGGGCCATTTTTTCGTATTCCTTAATAACTTCAATGACCAAAATTCAATACACATTGTTTCAGCCCCGCATCAATTATTTTGCTCTCGCGTAAGTTAGTCTGCTCAACCTAATAAAAAAACGTATGCACAAAAAGTCTGCTATGTTATGCTGATACTGAGAACTATTTCTAGCACAGCGAGTCACCAGCTTTCATTTCACGACTACTTTAAAACTACGTCTGTGACGCGACACTGAGCCTGACGTAACAACGTGGCGTTAACAATGACGTAAACACGATCAAACGTCACAAACGTCATTTTCATTGTAACATTCCGAACTTCAGTTTTCCAAGCAAACGGTTTTCTCATCCTTGGCAGTGAATATTCTTAACATGTACTCTATTACAGGGCTGGCTTTCATCTAAAAAGCGACAAGTTAAACTTGACCGGCACACAGCTTACGTGTCATTCGATGTCACGTGACTGTGATGCCACATGAGTCGATGCTATTCTCGGGTGTCACGGCGTCACGTCGCGTAATGATAGCACGCGATGTTATGACGTCAAGTTACACCCTGACGTCACCCGACGTCGTGACGTCAGGTGGCTTCATGGCGTCGCGTGACGTCGAAAAGTCACTGGATATTATGGTGACATGTGGCGTCACATACACACACACATACACATACACACATCATGCGCCCAGTTCATACGCAACAGATTTTGTCCGTCTCCAAAGTAAAGATACGATCAAGGCGTATTATGATTTATTGGTTGATTGATTGATCCACACATGCGTACATACATATACTTATACTGTTTCTCTTGTTGTAGCCCTTCTTCTTGTACCTTCCGTACCAAGCTGTACACTGTGGAAATTTCGACGACCCTCTTCAAGCGCCCCAAGAGAACATAGACAAGTTTCCCTACATTGGGGAAGAGAACCGGACAATTTTCGCCGGTGAGTGACGACACCCAAAATTGAGCTACTCGAGTTTCTGCAATACCGGGCGTAACTCTGCTGAGCAGATGGAAGGAAGCACCCTGTTTACGACTGCACTTTAAATCTAAGCGTCATCAGTGCAAAATTTAGAATGATGTCAGCGTCTTCCGTGGTCGGACCAAAAGTGAAATTGAGCGTAGCAGTTCCAGGTTTTTAGGGATCTTCAAGTTTTCCCTACAGCTTCAAGAACATTTGTATTTTGCTTGGACGTATCCCATCCGCACTTAGACGTGTCCGAGTCCCACTAGACGGACAAACAGAAACAATCGACATCGACAAGCCCCAAACACGTGCAGCATGCATACGAACACATGGTTTTCAGTCTCTCTGCGCTCGTGAAGTAAGCGAGGGCTATTCTAAGCCTGGAAAAGATAGAATACCCTTGCGTGCATGCTACGCGTACTTGGGACTTGTCGGTTGTCGGTTGTTTCTGTTCTGTCGCTCTAGTGGGACTTGAGAATTACACACGTCCCGGTTTGCTCGACTCGGCAATATTGAACGCGCAGGGATGACGGACGCCCTTGACGAGTCCATCGGAGAGGTCTTCCGAGCCCTGTTCGACGCTGGCATGCTGGACAACACGATCATCGTACTCAGCGCCGACAACGGCGGGCTTCCGTTTGGCTTCGAGTCAAACCGGGGCTACAACTTTCCCCTGCGTGGAGGGAAGGGCACTCTCTGGGAAGGAGGCTGCAGGGCGAGTGCCTTTGTCTGGAGTCCTCTGCTGAAGCGCAAGGGCGTCGTCTCGGACCAGATGATGCACATCACCGACTGGGTGCCGACCCTCTACTCGGCAGCCGGTACCTTCTTTTCCTCTTGTAAATCACGCCTTGTGCTGAAGTTTTCTTCGATCAAACATCGCTGTACCTACAAAGCACAGGCGCGAGGGCATGGGTTTCATATTTGCTTTCCTTTCACGAGCACTCGTGAAAAGAAGGCACATCTGAAAGCCACGTGCCCGCGCCAATGCCTTTGCCTTTGGTGCACACAGCTCCTCGGATAGAGTATAAGACCATCAGTTGTTAAAATTTCTTCTCTAGAGTATAAATTCATTCGTATGGTCATTGATAACAGTCGTTCAGCATTTTGTTTTAACTGTGTATAATAGATGTGTATTTTCAATAGCATATATAATACGATGTGATTTGATAATGTTTCCGAAGTTGCCTCAATGCTCAAAATTGACGCGTTTAAAGTCGCTCATAAATACGACGCCGAAACATAAACATCGCCTACCCTGTGACATGTACTGAACCAATTCACTCATAGGAGGTAATCCACAAACGCTGGGAAAGCTGGACGGCACCGACATGTGGGTGCCGCTGGCCTACGGATCTGCGTCCCCGCGCTACGAAATCCTCTACAACATCGACCCGATCGATCGCAATTCGGCTCTGCGTTACACCAACTACAAGCTGGTCCTCGGGATAGCCAACGGCGGGGCATACGATCAGCGATATCTGACCACGGGAGGCTCTCGCCCCTACGGCGACCTGGACCTCTTGATGGCCCAGTCCGAGGCAGCCCAAGTGCTCAGAGAGTATTACGGAACGGGATACCTGAAGTTTCCCGACCAGTGGCGACAGAGGGCGACACTCACCTGCGGAAACAAGGTGCCCAAGAACTTTGTGTCCCTCTCCCCGCCGTACCTGTTCGATCTGACAGCCGACCCCTGCGAGATTAACAACATTGCCAGTTCGCAACCTGGGGTAAGTGTCTTGTTTCTTGTTTGGCTGTTAGATGTTGTGCACTGCAACGTATCACTATCCTATAGACGCCCCCTAGGACATGGAGGAAAAGTCCCTCCAAAAAGAAGTCCTTTTGTTTTTAATTTCAACATTTTGAAGGCTTCTTTGCGAGAGCATCGAAGCGGAGATGACTGACAACAAGAACAAGGTGAACCTCTTTCGGGGCCACATTTTTTCGCCCTGTGAATTATCTTTCTTGTGGAATGTTCGTACGAAGAAACTGGAAGTGTTAAGGAAGCTTTGGGAGCGAGACTTTATAGAAGTCAAGACCTGCACTTTACGTGATCAATAGAAGATTCCCTACCTTCTCCCAGGCAGTGCCGTTTATAGTCACTGTAGTAACAGCTAAGAAATTCAGGGTGTGTAGATTTCTGAGCCCCCGTACAGTGGGATTCGTTGATAACAAGGCCCAAGAACGAGTCTCAAGGCGAGGGGTGTGAAGATAATAAAGACCACGCTCTACATTTCTTAAGTTGTCGGTGGCTAGTGTAGGGTGTCGCCCTTGTCCGAAGCCGATTGGACGTGCAGTGGCCCGCCTAAAAATTTAAGTTGTCTTTCCAGCTCGTGGCTTTTCTGCAGAGCAGGATCGACAGCTACGCGGTCACCCAAGTGCCTCCGGTAAACCAACCCACCGACCCCAACGGGTACCCCAGCAACCTGAACGGAACTTGGGGTTCGTGGGAAACGTGACTGCGACAAAAATGTGTGAAAAATGAAAGTGCAGCTGTTTATTTATTTATTCATCAAGCCGACAGAAGTGCGCTTCAAGAGGGACGAGACGCGAACTCAAGTCTGAGCTTTCCAGACAGACGACGCCGTGTCTAGCGTATCTGCGTCCTCCTCTTGTATGCCTTGTTCTTTTTCCTTTTCTTTTTTTTTTTTTGTGTGAAGTTTTTAATAAATGTATTAAAAGCTCCTTATACCTCGAATGTCCCTTCCAAAAAGGAATTAGTATAAGGTTATACAGGGGAGGATCGAGAAAATGTAACTGGGTTTTTTGGCCCGCATATATTACGCATCGCAGAAAGCTTAAACTCCAGAAGAATGTGACGCTTGCGGTGGTGAGAAAATGCGGAAGTTTGAACACATGACATTACCTGGATGAAAAGATACAAAACGTTATCTCTGAGCGAATGTCCACTTGATCCCAATACTCATCAAATTGATTGTGAGCGCGTGGTTCAATTATGTTAGTGGTAAAACTTGTCATCTCGAAAGAAAACAATATTGTCTTTCTAACTGACAGGTTCATTTTCACATACATAAATGCTACAGGCGCCCACAATCTCAAATATCAGTGTGATGCAAATTAGGCTGAGGTAAACGTCGGCTCATAAAGTTTTTTGTTTTTCAAACATTTAGCGAATCAGCATGTGATATCATTACCACTAGCGTCACTTTCTCATGGGGACTCATGCAGCTCTCTGCAATGCGTGGTTTACTTATGCGAGCTGAAACACCGGGTGTAATTTTCTCGATCTCACTCTGTACTGCTCTTTGCTAAATGTAATGCATGGAAGTTTTGTATGGCCCATGAAGGTAATTACAGCAGAAAACCCGAACTGCTATCTTCGAATTATGGCATGTGCAAATCAAAAGTACTTCTCTGGTGACAGGAAGGTGCGAAAGAGACAACGCCATTGATGAAAGCCAGCGCAATCGAATTGTTTGAACTGTGAACTTTATTTAGACCAGAAGTCTGGGATGCTGGAGCAAAAGGTGACCAAAGCCACCTGAAAATTCAAGGAAATTGTGCGAAAGAACCAGAACTGTTATGAAACATAAAGGAACTTTGTTGTTGCAAGATAGGTTTATTTCGAACTGGTTGCATATTTATTTTTTGTACTTGGTATATTCAGTCCAATTTGGACTGATGCGACAGAAAGAGCGTGAGCAGCCGTGGAGATTATGCTAAAATAAAACAGCAAGTATCATACCCGGAACTTAGCTCGAATATCATACCATTAATAAAGTGCCGGCAGGTGAGAAAAAGGTACACAATGTAGCGATTGTGAATTTCTAAATTGCCGCGCGCGGGGCCGAGCAAGCAATGTTCGGTCGCGGACTTCTAAAAGATTCCTGTTTATTCTTACTCGGGACGCAACTTTCATTATTTCGTCCTACTTTATTGCTTTCGAAAGTGCGTGCTTATTCAAACCCCGAACGCTCGACACTCGAACCTTCTGGCCCGAATTTTCGAGATGCCGACTCGCACTAGATAAAGTGCTGCGCATGACCTTGTAGAGTCAGTCCCGCTCTCGCTCGCTGTTGCGCCGCCAAATTGCCGCCCGCTTTCTGCTGTCTTGACACTCGTTCTTTATTTTGTTCAGCACAAGTTCGCCCACTAAACTTTCAGTTCGAAACGTGATATTCGTCGCTTCTGCTCCTGTCATTCGTGACAATATATGAAGTAAACAATATCAAACAATATCAGCAAATATCTCGCAATGCTTACTACCGCAATTTAACGTTTGATCGCAAATTGCCGTCCGGCTACACAGTGACCGGTTCTATACAGGAGTTCTGGAAATCCTTGAACAGCATATTGTAGTCCTTGAGGCAGTCCGGAGGTGCGAGGACATCTAGGAGTTTGTTCCCTTGCTCCAGGGATTCTAAGAAGTTGTTGGCTATGTTCGTCACTGTGGTCGTCTTGAGGATGCTACCGGAGCCTTCATACTTAGATCAGATCAAATATGCAGGTGTCACCAAGAACAGCCAGGAGAAGGGCCACACGTGTCCTTGCTACTTCATTAGTAATTATGTCTTCCTTACTGAGCCCTCCTATAAATATATCTGCGTCCATATAACCAATGATCTCTCCTGGAATATTCATGTCGACTAGGACATGAACTGTGCTAATTAATTGTTGGGTTACATCGAACGAGATTTTTCGCTTGCCCTGGTTTCATTCAAACTTCTTCTTTATCAAACCCTCGTTCGTACGAAACTTGAGTATGCCACCTCTGTATGGGTGTCACCCTCTCATCCGTAGCACAACATATCCAAAATCGCTCCGCTTGCTTTTGTACTTTCCAACTATCAGAGCACGTCTAGCGTTACCACCATGAAAGCGCCCATGTCATTGCCCAGTCTCTCAGATCGTAGAAAAACGGTCTAAGTTTATTCCGCAAGATTTGTCACCTTAACCAACAGGTCTCAAACACGCGGCCAGCGACTCACTGCGACGCGGCCCGCAGTCAACCAACCGGCTACGAGTCCGGGTTCTCATGCCTCGAGCGCTAAGTGGCACACGCCATAGTGATCTCACCTCACCAACTCATTTTCGCTCCAAAAGTAGCTCTGCTCGTAATTAATCAGGCAGCTTATACTTATGTGTTCATTTTCCCTTTGTCTCGCTTGATTGCTTGCTTCCCAGCTTTTTGTAATGTACGACGGTTCCGCTACTAGGCGGCAAGCGCGAGCTCTTCGTTGAAGATTGGGGGACGTTTTTTCGCCAGAAGCAACTGACTAAGACTCACCTACGATCTGGGATTCTCGCCTTAAAAAATATATCACCATTAAAAGAGAAGTATTTGTTCAAATTGTTCTAATACAAATCGTCAGGAAAGCAGGAACTCAAATCAACGGATGGCTTTTTTTTTAGAAACAAGTTGAGCGTGGTTAATTTTTGCGTGAATTGAGCAACGGGAACGACCGAGTACTTGCTCTCTCGTTCTATTAACAATACCGGCACGATGGTGGAACGGTGTAATTTTGATCTCACTTATCACATCAGGTCAGGGCCAAAGTCGTCATAAACAAATCAAGCTGGTTGTATCATTTTAGCATCGATTTTGGAGTGAATCGCTTCGGCAGTGCTCGTATTTATTCTCCACAATCGCACTCCTAATTGACTCCAGCAATATGCGCGGCACACGCACGCAATGCTAAACAGTTAGCCCGTAATGACCAATACACATACATCGAAACCCACCTCCTCAATCTCTGGTACAAGCGCCACAGAATAATAAACAAGTGGCAGAACGCCAAAACCAACCGTAAACTCAAAAGGACACTCGAACACAGCAACAAAGAGGCCGAAAATCACGACAATTTATTAGCCACATCACCCCAACGGTCAAACTCTCCGACCCAGAGTATGGCAAATTCTCCGAACCCTATCGGGACAAGCCAAACCACGAAACGCGCTAGTCAAGATCCAAATCGCACACAGGTTCTCCCGTAGCCTCAGAATTCATAAAACACTTTTAGCCAGACACCGCACATTCATACCTCATCTCTAGCGCAGAAACACCCCTAGAATACTCCGAAGGACTTGAATCTCCATTTAGCATAAGATAACTGTTTTCTGCACATCAGAAATTTAAACGCAGTACGGCTCCAGGCATGGATGGCATTAGTTACGCCATGTTACGAAACCTCCAGGACGAGGACCTAGATGCGCTAATCAGTCACATCAATCAGGTATGGGACACCAGCACTCTACCTAAGAAATGGCAGAGAGCCCTTGTATTTCCCGTTCCCAAACCTAACAAACCATTCGACCGCATAACAAACCTCCGGCCAATCTCCCTCACTTCGTGCATGGGAAAACTCATGGAAAAGATGCTACTGAAACGTTTAGAATGGCACCCGGAAAGTGTAAATGCTTTACATCCCACCATCGCAGGATTCATACACCATATGAGAACACAAGACGCAATGCTCTGAATCTGGGAAGACGTGCACCAACACCCAAGCAACGCACAACTATGCGTCATAGCTGGACTCGAAGTTCACAGGGCTTTCGACAAGGTTGCTCACAATGGCATACTTAAAAATCTTTTATCTACGTACCCTGGCCATAAAACGTGTACTTACATCAAAATCATTTCTCTCCGACAGCACGGCGCAAATTTAAGGACCAATATCGCTCACCCGAACTCCACCTAACAAGAGGAGTCCCTCAAAGAGCGATCCTGCCCAACACTTTTCAATCTTGCTATGAAAGACCTTTTAGGACAATTAGAAACAATTCATCAACTTTACATTAGCCGTGGTCTCACTGCTTATACGTCATACAAAAGACAGTTTGCATAGAGATTCAAACGGTGTTGTAGCTGTTCCTGTGAGTACTGTAGACTCAAACAGGACTGTTTTTTTACCTATCGACATCTAATTGAAAGCTAGATGTGTCCCATATTTGCTACAATTAAAAAACACGGCGATTTCTCCCGTCCTCGTTAAATAATCAGACCCGTGACGACCTCGTTAGCTTCTTTAAAACTAGCGTATAGAGCTGTAATTAAACGTAATTAACGTGTATGTCGCTCTGTACAAATCGACCTTGGCACGACAGGTCAGGCGAGAGTTATTTTGGGACGCACTTTGTGAACGCGTCACCCATTATGTCAAGGAATCATGTCACTCTGGTTCGAGAGCGTGTAAGTGTGGTAAACAGCACAAATTGCATCCGCGAGCACACACCTGCCTGTGCATAAATGTAGCTCATCCGGTTAGCTCTGGTGCCGGAACACGGTTCCGGCACCAGAGTTTATGACACTGTGAGGATTATCCTCCTATACTATGTTCCTCTGGCCGATAATTCACACAGGCAGGATGGGTTAATCTTTACCAGCTCCTTTGAGATAAATTATGTTTGAATTAGAATCAAACACTTTGTCTACCCTACGTCTGTCCATATCAGACTTGTACAAGATGTTGTATAAGTACTTGTGGTATTATTTTGGTGTCTTGCAAACGCATTTCGTCCAGAGTATTTGCTACCCTATCTAATTACATTTCTCAGTATCTGACATACAACTTCCATATAATGAAAAAAAAAATTTCGCCGGAGCAATTTGCGGAACTAAGGATTGTCAGACTCCAGGGAAAAGCTGAACCGAT